TGTAATGTCATTTTGCAAGCACAGCAAACATATTTACCATTTGTATATGGGTTTAGATTACAGTGATTGATAGGTGCTGTGTCAATAAATCCATGGTTCTGTTAGAGGAATCAATAGGAACAGGATGGCAGATGAGTCCCTGTTTCTGAAGTCTTTCTCAGGGAGGCAACCAGACACACTTTCCTATTGCTCTCTTGTTTTCATCTTTGTTTCATGTATTTTGAGCTTGCGCCTGTTCAATAATGACTTATTTTGGAGTCAGTAATGTAATGGAAATCAGAGCAGCTTGCATAGGAAAAGCCACTTTGTAGACTCCAGTTCCCAGGACCCTTACTTGGCATGGCAGGAGGTTCTGAGACTTGTAATCCCAAAATGTGACTTTCTACGTTCTCTGTATGATTCCTCTGTTCATTTGAGGATGTAGCAACTCACACTAGTTTTCTGGAAAATGCCTTTAGAAGGATCATGCCACTCTGGATTTCTTTGAATTTGGCAGGAACATGCCTGTTTCAGAAAGACGATGGAGAAGTTTAGCAACTCAGAGGATCACACTGTCAGGGTTAATTTCCTCATAACAAATGATAATGCTGTCGATCAGGGCTTACTTTTTAAAATTATTTTATTGACTTATTATGTAGTAGGAAACAAAAAAAGGGGAGGGATAGCTCTCAGCATTTGGGAAGATCCCAAACCCATCCCTTGCCCAGCTGTTTTCAGGACTTGGCAGCTAAGCTTAGAAGGCACAGAGGTGGCAGATGACATCACGGTCCTTGTTGGTCAAAACCACCATTTGACCCCTTGAATCTCTGCCCCTCTCCACCCAGGAGGTGGGGTCTGATCTGATCCAGTACTCTGCCTACGGTCTGAAGTTCTCACCCTTCTTCTATACACAGCAAGGGAGTTAGGTTCCCTTTTCTTGCAGGTAAGCAGCTGGCCTACATCCAGGTTGACTGTCTCTCTCTCTCTCAGACACAGGGCGAGAGACTTGATCAGGTCACAGCAGTCAAGGATGGGTACCTTTCCTTCCAACAGCGAGCGATCCACTGACTCCGCTCCTTCGCTCGCCGTGATCCTTGCCCGCGGGCAGCCGTTCAAGAGACCTTTTGAAACTTCTTCTTCTTGGATTCCTGAGCGGGTCGAGGGAGGGAGGGAAGGAAGGAGAGGGACCGGCCCGAGGGACGGCTTTGGCGGAGCCCTACAAAGGCCAAAAAGGACAAAAGCTTCAGCAGCGCTTTCACTCAGATCCTGCCTGGCTTAACCGACCGTGGCTTGTCAACAAGCTACCAAACTGACAACGGAAACACGCCCCGCCAAGAAGGAAACCGACCTCCTGCTGTCGAGGAGGTTTTGTTGCCGTCGTCCTCCGGCCAAACTGCGACCGGGATCGCGGCGCGTCTGCCTGCACGCCGGCAAGGCGGGTGTGCTCCCCAGCAGCACGATCCGAGGTTTGCTTCTTCAGAAGCAAAGCCTAGCGGGACTCAGCCGGTCTCAAGGCCAAGGAAGATTGTTTAAGCCTGCAAACCGGAGAGGGTTTGGCGTCTGGGTAAGGAGAGAAGGAGGGTGTGTGTAGTTCCTGATCTTAAGCACATTTTTTCCCCACAAGTCAAGTCCCATAGATTTCAGCGATGCTTACCTCCCAGGAGAGGTACTTAGATTTGCAGCCTTATATCTTACTAAGTATGCAGCACTGCGGTTTTTAATTATCCGAGCATTATTTCCTCGCCTTCACGACGTCAACGTAGTTTCCTGTACAATCTTTCTGCGGAAGCTGAAAAAGCAAAAAACCGAACAAAATCATTGTGGCAACACTTACGTTTCTCTTCTTAAGAGCATTACATATACACAGGAACGTATTTACGTTTGGAATGCTGTCTTGAACGAATTTCAGACACGGGTAATCTTTCTCCACGTGAGCTCCAATTCTTACGCTTTCACGTCTAGTTTAAAAAACACGCGTGGTGACTTACAACTGCCAGCCCAAGGTCTCGATTTTTACCCTATATGTTGGTTCCCTCTCTATCATAATTTGCTTGTTGGATCATCCATCGCAGAAATCCTTGGCTTTAAAGCGCTGTCTTTTCTAAACCCGATTCTGGGATTAGTGTACACAATGAACAATGTACAGGATTATTCCAGGAGTGCATAACATTTATAGTTTCAGTGAGACATGTTCCGAAGGAAACCTGTGTGAGGATTGGGCTACACAGGATTACGACATAATTTTCTGGATACTGATCTTCTGGATTAGACGGAGAAACGGGGACCCAATTGCTTTCGAAATGATGGGGTAAATCCACACAACGATAACGTGGATCCAGGTCTCCTATGAGTGCAAAGAGAGAGGTACCATTTCTGGCAGGGTATGGGATTGACCCTTACCTAGCCAGTGTGCCTTATTTGGATAAATCTAGTGCAGTTCCCCCACACACACAATTGTTAAATTTGGCTGCGTTAATTTGAATACATTTAAGAGGTGATCAGGCACATTCATGAAGAGGGGACATGTGTCGATTGGTTTAATATACAGTATTGAGCAGGATGAAACCTCTCCCTTCAGAGGCTGTGTACTGTTGAGCGGAACAGCAGGTGTTCGGGAGACAACAGTAGGAAATGGCTTTGTGTTTTGCTTAGGAGCATCTTGGTTGCCCGGTGGGAAACAGGACATCGGACTACTAGATGGTCTTCCAGTCTGATCCAGCAGGACTTCTCGGATGCTTTTCTCGCGGGCAAAGAAGCGCGTTTGGCCACCCTTTTACACGCCTCCACGTAGCGGATTGGGAAGACTCGGATCTGCACCAGAAAAGCCTGTTCCCATCTGTTTGGTCGCGTGCACAGAGCAGGAGCAGCTTTTACCTCTCCTGTTTTTGAAACCCCTGTTTCCGTCTTGGTCACAGCTATTTATTCCTGAGAAGAAAGCTCTTTACTCATGCCCAGAGGCACTCTCGTCTCCCGACTTCACATGTCGCAAGGCGGAACTCTGGCAGCGAGGAGAAGGTGGCAGCTGAACGGCCGTGATCAGCTCCGATAAAGTCCCGAGGCTAACCCAAACCATGTGGTCCTTGTATAAAATTCTGAAACCCGGGTGGCAATACTTATGGGCAACCACCCCGAGGAGAGAAACACAAAGGCAGCTGTCATCGGGACAGGAAGCAGGGCGCGCCTCCCTTAGAAATGTAGGGGTGAAGGGTCCTTCCTCCCGGTCGACACAGCTGGAGTTTTTTTTCTTCTTCTTCCCTGCCTTCAGATAGCCGGGGAACCTCACCGTGTTAAAGATCCATCAGCCTCAGGGAAGGAGAAAGGAAGGACAGAATGCCGTAAAAAAAAATAATGAAAACGATCTCCACGTTACAGGCTGGCGTTCAGGGTAAGTCCTGGGTCTGAGACAATTGGAGGGAGATTTTGGCAAAACAGACACCTCAACCAAGCTCGGAAAACGTTAAGGCACTCTAAAACACAAAGACAAACGGATTGTTCGGAAAATCTTGGCAGCTGCTTGTCTGTCTAACTCTTTATCCAGCATCCAGTGAATCGACACCTTGTGACGTTATTTGCGACAGGCAGCTGATAGCGTTTATCAGCGGTCCCCTCGGGAGCGATTCATTACTTTTGGTGGACGTCCCTGTTCAGGGATGAGGAGAAGACTCCGTAAGGACCCATTCCCACAACACAGGGGGACCCAGGCTCCCAGATCGAGCCACCCATTTAGGGTTTTTTTTTTGACGTTTCTTTCACTTCCACATTTCCGCCCTCCAAGGGCTCCCAGAAGCGTCGCCATAGTTTTGTCAAGGCAAGAGAGGCGGGAGGGGGTTGGCAGCGCCCCGCCGCCCCCCCCCCCGCCCCCAGCAAAGCCGGGTCTCTTTGAACGGGGCTCTCGTCCAGCCCTCGTAGACAGACGCCCTCCTGGCTGCTAACAGGATCAAATGTGAACCACAGAAAGTGTGTGTGTGTGTTGTGTGTGTGAGAGGGGGGAAGGGAGAGAGACGGAGAGACTGACGGGCGGCCCCGTTTCGGATTAATTCACCCTTAGTCTGTTGGTTCACATTTGGGGGGTGACGGGCACTGGCGAAGCAGCGAGCCTTCGCTGGCCGCCTCCCCTCTCTCCCTCCCGCCCTCGCTCCCTCACGAGCATCCCCGCGCTGGGGTCTGGAGGCAGCCGCCTGAGGTACTCTTTAAAAAACGCTCGCTCTGGTTTGCAATAGGTCGCGGCGGGGCGCAATTCACCCTTAGTCTGTTGGTTCACATTTGGGGGGTGACGGGCACTGGCGAAGCAGCGAGCCTTCGCTGGCCGCCTCCCCTCTCTCCCTCCCGCCCTCGCTCCCTCACGAGCATCCCCGCGCTGGGGTCTGGAGGCAGCCGCCTGAGGTACTCTTTAAAAAACGCTCGCTCTGGTTTGCAATAGGTCGCGGCGGGGCGCATGCGCGCTTCTCCGAGGGCTCTTCCCCCCCGCCCTCCTCTTTCCCCTTCAGACGCCGTCGCCTGCGCTACTTTCTTTACACTTCGAAGGAGCCGCGCGGGCAGGAGCGCAGCGCCAGCCGCGGCAACAACAGGAGGCGCTGCAGAAAGAGCGGAGAGCGGGAGACGGAGAAGGGAGAGGACGACGACGACGACGACGGGGAGGGGAAGCGCCCTGACGCCGCGGCCGGGCGCAGCATGTAGCGGGGGTGCGGGGGTGAGGG